CCACCAGGAAGGCTCTTCCAGAGGTGGCTGCAAACAGGTCACGCTCCAGATGGCTCCAAGATGGCCCAAGATGGCCTCCAAAGCGGCCAATGCGGCCTTCAAGTTCGCCCAAGATGGTCCAAGATGGCCTCCACGACGGTCCAAGATCGTCCAAGATGCTTCCAAGTTTGCCCAAAAAACCTCCGAGACGGCCCAAGACGGCCTCAAGATAACGGCAGACGGCTCAAGAGGTCCTCAAGAGGCCTCCAAGACGCAAGAGATCTCCAAGTTGTCCTCCAGGAAGGCCCGAAGTGGCCAACTTCATTGATTGTTTCTTTTCGGCTTTCCGACGACCCGACGGCCCAAGAGCCCAAAAAGATCGCCGCAAGATCGCCCAAGAGGCCTCCAAGATGGCCCCAGAACGGCCCAAGATGACGCCAAGATGGCCTCCAAGACGGCCCTGGAGTTCCCCAAGATGCCCCAAGTCGGCCCAGAGAGGCCCACAAGACGGCTTCCGACGGCGTCAGATGGGCCAGGAGGTCACCAAGACGGCCCAAGATGGTCCAAGATGGCCCCAGACGGCCCAAGAGGCCCCCAAGAGGTCTCCAAGACGGCCCAAGAGGCCTCCAAAAGGGCCTCCAGGAAGGCCCGACGAGACCAGACTCATTGATTTTCTCCAAGAGTTTGAATGGATTTTCACAAGTGTTGGTTTTCGGCTTTCGGACAGCCCCAGACGGCCCAAGAGCCCCCAAAGTTCGCCCCAAGATCACCCAAGAGGCCTCCAAAATGGCCCCAGAACGGCCCAAGAGGACCCCAAGACGGCCCCACAGAGCCCCAAGAGGCCCCCAAGAGGTCTCCAAGAGGGGCTCCAGGACGGCCCGAAGAGGCCAAACTCATTGCTTTTCTCCAGGGGGGTGAAAGAGTTTGGCATTTGTGGTTGTTCGGCCTTCCGACAGCTCGAGACAGTTCAACAACAGCCCCCAAGATCGCCCAGAAATCGCCCACGAGGCCTCCAAGATGGCTCCAGATTATCCCGGCAAAGCAACCTAACAGCGATGTGTAGAAGCATATATGGAAGCATTCCCCTTAAGATTCAGATGAGAATCCAGTTGTAGAGTTCTGCTGTTCTCGCAGTCGCAGTCGCATTCGCGATGACAGTCGCAGTGGCAGCGGCAGTCGCAGTCACAGCCTCAGCCTGCCTCAGTATCAGCCTGCCTCAGCCTCAGCCTCAGCCTGCCTCAGCCTCAGCCTCAGCCTGCTTCAGCCTCAGCCTCAGTCTGCCTTCAGCCTCAGCCTCTGTGCCTCAGCCTGCCTCAGCATCAGCCTGCATCCGCCGCCTCAGCCTCAGCCTCAGCCTCAGCCTGCCTCAGCATCAGCCTGCCTCAGCGTCTGCCTCAGCCTGCCTCAGCCTCAGTCTGCCTTCAGCCTCAGCCTCAGCCTCAGCCTGCCTCAGCATCAGCCTGCCTCAGCCTCAGCCTCAGCCTCAGCCTGCCTCAGCCTCAGCCTGCCTCAGCGTCTGCCTCAGCCTGCCTTCAGCCTCGGCCTCAGCCTCAGCCTGCCTCAGCCTCATCAGCCTCAGCCTGCCTGCCTCAGCCTCAGCCTCAGCATCAGCATCACCATTCTCAGCCTCTGCATCAGCATCAAAATGCGGCCCGGGAATGGAGTTCTGGGAACTCGAAGAGCACGAAGTGGCCTACAGTTGGCTCCGGGCATTCAAAATGTGGCCCAGGAATGGAGTTCTGGGCACTCGAAGAGCACGAAGTGGCCTACTGTTGGCTCCGGGCATTCAAAATGTGGCCCGGGAATGGAGTTCTGGGAAATCGAAGAGCACGAAGTGGCCTACAGTTGGCTCCGGGCATCCAAAATGTGGCCCGGGAATGGAGTTCTGGGAACTCGAAGAGCACGATGTGTGTGACTGTTGCATACGGCCCTCCAGAATGTGGCCCGGGAATGGCGTTCTGGGATGTCGAAGAGCACGAAGTGTGTGACTGTTGCATCCGGTTATTCTAAATGTGGCCCGGGAATGGCGTTCTGGGATCTCGAAGAGCACGAAGTGTGTGACTGTTGCATCCGGGTATTGAGAATGTGGCCTGGGAATGGAGTTCTGGGAAGTCGAAGAGCACGAAGTGTGTGACTGTTGGTGAAAAACGAGCCCGGCACCTGCCGCCCGGCAACTCCCAACACCTGCCCGGACCCCCCTGTGGAGTGATCTGCTGCTCTCTTTTGATCCCACTAGAAACCTATCAGTCTTCGCTGTTAGGTAAAATTATCCCGGCAAAGCAACCTAACAGCGATGTGTAGAAGCATATCTGAAAGCATTCCCCTTAAGATTCAGATGAAAATCCAGTTGTCGAATTCTGCTGTTCTCGCAGTCGTAGTCGCATTCGCGATGACAGTCGCAGCGGCAACGGCAGTCGCAGTCACAGCCTCAGCCTCAGCCTGCCTCCTCCTCCTCCTCCTCTTTCTCCTGCTCCTCCTCCTCCTCCTCCTCCTCCTCTTCCTCCTGCTCGTCCTCGTTCTCGTCCTCCTCGTCTTGCTCGTCCTCCTCCTCCTGGTGCTCTCTCCTCCTCCTCCTCCTCCTCCTCCTCCTCCTCCTCCTCCTCCTCCTCCTCCTCCTCCTCCTCCTCCTCCTCCTCCTCCTCGTCCTCCTCCTCCTCCTCCTCCTCCTCCTCCTCCTCCTCCTCCTCCTCCTCCTGGTAGTCCTCCCCCTCCCCTCCTCCTCCTCCTCCTCCTCTTCCTGGTCGTCCTCGTTCTCGTCCTCCTCGTCTTGCTCGTCCTCCTCCTCCTGGTGTTCTCTCCTCCTCCTCCTCCTCCTCCTCCTCCTCCTCCTGGTGGTCCTCGTTCTCCTCCTCCTGGTACTCTCCCCCCCCCTCCTCCTCCTCCTCCTCGTCCTCGTCCTCCTCCTCCTCCTCCTCTCCTCCTCCTCCTCCTCCTCCTCCTCCTCCTCCTCCTCCTCCTCCTCCTGGTACTCCTCCCCCTCCCCTCCTCCTCCTCCTCCTCCTCCTCTTCCTGGTCGTCCTCCTCCTCCTGGTCGTCCTCCTCCTCCTGCTCGTCCTCCTCCTCCTCCTGCTCGTCCTTCTTCTCCTGCTCCTCCTGCTCCTCGTCCTGCTCCTGCTCGTCCTCGTCCTCCTGGTCTTGCTCGTCCTCCTCCTCGTCGTGCTCTTGCCCCTGCTGAAAATGTGGCCCAGGAATGGGAGTTCTGGGAAGTCGAAGAGCACGAAGTTGCCTACAGTTGGCTACGGGCATTCAAAATGTGGCCCGGGAATGGAGTTCTGGGAACTCGAAGAGCACGAAGTGGCCTACAGTTGGCTCCGGGCATTCAAAATGTGGCCCGGGAATGGAGTTCTGGGAACTCGAAGAGCACGAAGTGGCCTACAGTTGGATCCGGCCCTCCAGAATGTGGCCCGGGAATGGAGTTCTGGGAACTCGAAGAGCACGAAGTGTGTGACTGTTGCGTACGGCCCTCCAGAATGTGGCCCGGGAATGGCGTTCTGGGATGTTGAAGAGCACGAAGTGTGTGACTGTTGCATCCGGTTATTCTAAATGTGGCCCGGGAATGGCGTTCTGGGATCTCGAAGAACACGAAGTGTGTGACTGTTGCATCCGGGTATTGAGAATGTGGCCTGGGAATGGAGTTCTGGGAAGTCGAAGAGCACGAAGTGTGTGACTGTTGGTGAAAAACGAGCCCGGCACCTGCCGCCCGGCAACTCCCAACACCTGCCCGGACCCCCCTGTGGAGTGATCTGCTGCTCTCTTTTGATCCCACTAGAAACCTATCAGTCTTCGCTGTTAGGTAAAAACCCACGAGGCCCCAAAACGGCCCCAAGAGGGCCTCAAGAGGCCTCCAAGACGCCGAAGATGGCTTCCCAGACGGCCCTGGAGCACTCCAGGAGGGCCCCAAGTCGGCCCAGAGAGGCCCCCAAGACGGCTTCCGACGGACCAAGAACGCCCGAAGATGGGCAAATGCACCCGAGAGGCCCCCAAGGGCCCCCAAGAGGCCCAAGGAGGCTCCCAAGATGCCTTCAAAAGGCCCCCAGAAAGCTCCCAGGAGGCCCAAAGAGAGCCCCCTGAGGCTCCAAAGATACCCTGTCCTCCTCCTCCTCCTGCTCCTCCTCCTCCTCCTGATCTTTCCCGCCATCCTCCCCCCAAGTGCTCTCCGAAAGGTTTTCACAACGGCTGGGGGAACACATGCTCCGATAGCTCGGCAGAGCTATTGCCACAACATGTCCTCCAAGACGGCCAAGATCGCCCCAAGAGAGAGCCCAAGATGGTCCCAGGATGTCCCCTAAACGGGCCGAGATGGCCCCAAGATAGCCCAAGATGGCTCCAAGATGTCTCAAGTCGGGCCGAGATGGTCGCAAGATGGCCCAAGAGGCCACCGAGATCACCTCCACGACGGCCCGAAAAGAGCAGCATCAAAGACTGACACTCTACTTTTGAAGGATGAGGGCGTCTGCTCATATTTGGCTTTCTGGCGGCTAACGACGCCCCCAGATGGTGATTCGCCGTATGCATCTTCGATATTCTTCACACACACACACATCCACATCAAACTCCGAAGCACCGACCTGGGGCTGCTGCTGCAACTGGAACTGCACACCGCTCAAGGTGCGCCGGAGGGTGAGGGAGGGGGAGGAGGAGGAGGGAACGGACAGAGGCAGAGAACAGCGGAGGAGGGGAAGCAGAGGAGTGCCCACTTCGTCCACCCCCAGGAGATCCCACCAATCTCGCTCCAGCCTGTGGCGACTGCTGCCCCTCCCCTTGCAAGGTCGTGCCGTCCTCCCCCTCCTCACCGTCCTTCCGCCTTTGCTCCTGGCGGAGCGTAGGCTCAAGCAGCACTTCCATACCCAAGGGCCCAAGGGCCAGGGCAGCCCTCGCTCTTCAGTGCGGATCCCTTTGCGTAGGGATCCTTGTCGCAAGGGGGCAGTACTGCAGGATCCCTTCCGAAGAAATTCAAGCACACCAGCCCTCGCGAAGACATCTTTAAGAAACAATCCCCCCTCGCCCCCCCGAGCACGATCCTCGTCGCGGCGCGGCGACTGCAGCAGGCCCTGGCTCAGGAACCGCCAGTGCCCCGCCGCCGAGCCCCCGCCCGTCGGGAAGCTCAGCAACACCTGGCCGAGCGCAGCAGGGGGCGCTGGTCGCAAGCAAGCGCTGGCCGCGGCCACGACCGACCAGCGGAGGCTACCGCGGAGAGGGGGGGCAAGATGATAGCCTCCTTATCCTCCTCGTCCTCCTCCTCCTTCCCTTCCTCCTCCTCCTACTACTCCTGCTTCCTCCTCCTCCCTCTTCTCCGCCTCCTCCTCCTCCTCCTCCTCCTCCTCCTCCCCGTCCTCCTCCCCCCACCTCCTTCTACTCCTTCTCCTCCTCCTCCCCCACCCTCCTCCTCCTCCTCCTCCGCCTCCTCCTCCGCCTCCTCCTTCTCCTCGTCCTCCTCCTCCTCCTCCTCGTCCTCCTCCCCACACCACCCTCATGTCCTCCCGGTCCTCCTCGGCCTTTTCCTTCTCCTCCTACTCCTCCTCCTCCTCCTCCTCCTCCTCCTCCTCCTCCTCTTTCTCTTTCTCCGCCTTCTCCTCCTCCTCGTCCTCCTCCTCCCCCTCCTTCTCCTCCCCCCTGTCGCAGGCGGCGGCGAGAGAAGCGCGCGCCCGCGGGGCCGCTGCGGCAGATAGCACGAAGAGCCGAGCATGTCCGCATCCGCGCCCTACAGGTCTGGATTCTCGGGCGGGACCCCGCGAATACGGAGTCGCACGGACACGTTCCGCGCAAGGCATCGGCCAAACGAGCGCCCCGTATCGCGGGGTCAAGACCCAAGGGCCCCACCCGCAAGACCGCGGATACGCATACGTGTTCTGCCCACGACGATCGGGCGGATAGCACTGGATGCTGAGTTGGGTTATGCTAGGCCGAACCTAGCGTATACATTGGTTGCGTGTGCCCTTCGTGGATCAAGGTGATTAGATAACTCAGCTGAGTTGGCGTCGCCCGCTCAATCCAAATCCGCGCCTCACCAGCACCGTTTAGGGCACAAACAACCAATTCATAAGACAAGTTAGGCCTAATAGATCTCACGGGCGATTCAACTTTGAACCCCCCTTCGCCGAGACAAATTATGCGCCTTAAGTGAGCATATACCCTATACCTGAGGTACGAAAACACGCAAGAACCATCGCTGCATCTCAAGGCCAAGAGGCGATGGTCAAACAAATCAGTTCCCGTGCAACACTCCACAGCTGGTTCTTGCACCTCCAGATGCCTCTGCCCCACTCCCACTGGTGCTCAAACCCCGAGGGGAGATGCCCACGCGGAGGCTTCTGAACCCCATCGGCCTCGCCCAAATGAAACTCCGGCCAGAGAGGGAGGTCAGCGGTGTTAGCGCGGCAAGCGACCTTGAAACACTTCACGAGAAACCTAGCGCTTCGCCTCAGCGCTCAAACGGGAGTGAAGCGAGGCACCGCGTGTTCCTGCGCTGTCGGTAGCATCGTTGCCTAGCTGGTACAAAAAATGCAGCTCTGCGATGCCAGGCGGGTCTCATGCGATGTGGACCCCCTGCCAGTGGGCCGAAGCAGAGAAAGCGGCAGAGCTGGCGTACTTCATCGAATGAGAAAGAAACAGCTTTAGTATGGCGAGTGCGCGCCACGCCTTCACCATCTGCATCGTCCTGTGTTGAGCCCTCGAGGCGCTGGGCTGCTGTCGCTTGGGCGCCGCACTCAGAAGGGCCCAGTGTGAGCCCGACGAGAAACGCATCATCGCGACAAGGTAATTCGACACCGGGTAGAAGCCGATGGGCCTGTGACCACGGGGGCGCCCTCCCCTGCAGCCTTCCGAGCGCCTCGGAGGTACTCTTGGAGCCACGGCTTCATCATCTCCTCAATGGCGTTTTTTCCATGCCCCCGCAACAGTGAACGGCCTCCCTGCGCTTTGATGTAGCTGCCCATCTCATGGCAATCTGGGTACGCTACGGCGAACATGTTGTCCGCCTTCGGCATCCGCAGCATTGTCGCATGCGTCTGGCCGAGAGGGGGTCTTGCCACGCATTTTCTTTGCAAGCAAAGCTGCTCCCCCAATGGCCCTGCTTTCCACCGCCCGACGCACCGACTGATGGCGCCGCGTTTAATCCCATCCCAATGTATTAATGTTCGTGGCTACCCCGACGCGCTTCTTATCCCAATGATGCGCTTCTCATACATGAACCGTCGGTGAAAGTATCACCACATGATGCAATATTTGCGAGAAAATCAAGGAACAGCCCGCCCTGCCATTTGCCCTTGCCACACGCCACCAGAAGCGCAAAGTGGATGTCCGAAGGACCAACCATTCAGGGATATGTAATCGTTCCATACTCTGCCAACTGACGCGCCACCAGAGCAATGAACCGCCCGACCTTCTGGCTCTCCCAGATCGCACGATCGTCTTTTCAACACTGCTGCCAAGGACGGAGCACCACACTGGGGCAATCCCGCAGGTGCCCCAAACGCCTGGCATACTATGAGAACTCGCCGGAATAGGCCTCCGAATACCGTCGCCAGGGAATTTCCAGCCTTCTGAAGTTAAGTGGGAATTGCCAGCCTTCTGAAGTGAAGTGCGCGCATCACCTGAGGTACCAGCCGAAGGCAAGATACCCGATCATGTTCTGGTCCAGGTACGCGCTGGCGTGTTATTGGATCTGCTGCTGGTGCTGCGGCCCATTGGGCTGGCCCCTGTTCCTTCCACGAGCTCGCCTGGCACTATCTGCTTGCGCTGCCCCAGTGTGCCTGTCAATCCCAACGGACGCGCACATCATCGCCGTGACCATGAGCTGGCTTAAGGTCCTCGTCATCGTTATCCAGTGCTCCCCCTGCTGCCGCCGCGGGCGCAGCCGCCAACCTCTCTGGGCAGGGTTAGCTACTCGTTCACCTTGAACTCCTGACAGCTGCGCTGCTGGTGCCCCTCCAGGCTGCTGACGCTGTGGCTGTGGCCCTGGGTGCCCTCCTGCTGGTGCACTTTGCGGGAAGCCTGGCGCTGTGCATCTGGACAGATACGCGGCCTGTGTCAGACACTCAGGGCGAGCCGGGTGCGCCCACAATGACGCGTCCCGGGCGGGGTGAAGACCATGGACCAGAGGGAGGCAGAAAGCAGACCCCGTGCCAGTCCCCCACTGACTTTACCCCCGACTGCTTCAAATACGACGACGCGAACCTATTTGGGAAGAGGTTGCATGAGGAGGAAACGGATCACGAGGATGAGGAGGAGAAGGTCGACGACGAGAACGAACGATGACGAGGGATACTGACCAGCTGGGGGACCAGGAGGAAAGGAGGCAGCGGACGACAAGGCAAATGACGACGACAGGGACCCAAACATGCAACGTCCTGATTTGTTACTGCGGGGTTTTCAGAAGTCCAGACCCTTCACCCATGGCCGATGATTCATCCCGAACGATTCCCAACCGTCCTGTGGTGCTGGGTCCTCGTTCTGAAGAGAAAGCGCCCCGCGTTTTTCTCCTCCTCTCCTCTCTTCTCCTCTCCTCTCCTCCTTCCTTCTCCTCCTCCTCCCTCCTCCCATCCCTGCCTCTGCCCTCCGCTTGTCCACATGCCGGCACACCCCCCACACGTTCTGTGACCCCACAGGGAGCTTCACCGAAGGCCCCAGCGGCTGCGCTCGCATGGCGCCACCGCACCCCTGTCGGCACACCCATCACAAGTTAGTTTCGTGGCCCCATGGGGAGCTCCACCGAAGGACCCAGTGGCTGCGCTCGTATGGCGCCACCGCACCCGTTTTGGCACACCCCTCACACGTGTCGCGGCCCCATGGGGAACTCCACCGAAGTCTCAAATGCCAACGCTCGCATGCGGTCACCGCACCCATTCTGGCACACCCCTCACACGTTCCGCGACACCATAGGGAATTTCACCGAAGGCCCAGATGCCAGCGCCCACATACCGACACTGCACCCATCCTGGCACCCAATCTGGCACACCCCTCACAGGCTTCGTGGCCCCATGGGGAGCCCCACCGGAGGCCCACCTACCAGCGCTCGCATGCGGCCACCGCACCCAGTCTGGCACACCCCTCACACGTTTCGTGGCCCGCCCCGTAGGGAGCTCCATCGAATGCGGTGCACACAACCAACGACGGTACCCACAACTGCATGTGGTTGGGTCCTTCGCCAGGCTAATTGTTTGACGCACCCATGACCCGTCGAGGGCTCCCAGGAGCCGAAACAGGCAACAACAATTCTCATCGCTGTTTTTTTTCGCGACGCGACCATGTCGGGGCAGGCTCGATGACGAAGACGATAGAAGATCGGAAGCGGCGGCGACGACGAGGATGCCTGGAGCGCGCGCGAGGCAGGGGCCGTTTGGGATGAACAGAAGCTCTATTTAGGAAAACGACCTGCAATGAAAACTGCCAGGAATACTCCACGTGCGCACGGCACCGCATTCCGAGTGCACCCCAGCGGGGTAGCTGATCGACGGCACCAACAACCAAAAGTATCAGGCGAAACACGCGTCGATGGGCGAAAACGACTGGGGACTGCACCTGCGAAGTCGAATGCCAATGCCGAATGAACCCGTGCAAATTTCATCGGTCGACTTATCTGGGGGGCGTTCTGTCGATGCCTGTTGGTTTGGATGCTCGAGAATGGGTACGGAATAAATGGGTACGATGCCCAACAGCAAATGATGTCTAGAACCCAACGGCGCGTCCGCTGTTGGCCGGGCGGTCTTCTGCCTCGAACTGCGGCGACACCCACAGCGAGTCCTGTCCAAAATGGGCATGGACTGCTATTAGTCTTAGTGCCCACTCTTTCCGTACAGTGCGGGCGCGGCCGCAAGAAATCCGGCCCTAGGGCATGGGGGGGAACCCTAAGCACCAGGGGGACCCTGATCACTCTGAACGCAGTAGCGTATTGGACGGCCACGGGAAAACACCGCGAAGCGAGCGGAGCGAAGAAACCCAGGGTGCCCTGACGAAAAGCATCTTGTGTCTAGGCTTCGATCGGGCAGTTCCCCCAACAGGCGGATTTTAGAAGAGATGAAGAGGAGCCAAGCATGAGAAAGAAAAAAAATATAAAAGCACGACAGGTCGCCGACAGACTATCTTTATATACCCTTCTGGAATGCTCCCCCACTGCAGAGGGAGATGCCCGACTTCGCACCTGTTCCCGTGTCGACAGCACGGACCGAAAGGGGCGGCGGGCTTCTGCCTCCGCGTCCGCGGCCGGCAGGGGCGCCGTCGACTCCTCCCGGCGACCCGCCGGGCGGGGGAAGGCCCGGCCGCACGGGTTTGGACGCCCGACATGCTGGGCACGGAAAGAATGGGTACAATGCCCAACTGCAGTTCCTGTTCATTTTGAACAGGACTCGCTGTCCACGCCGCCGCGACCTGTGTCCATGTGAGACAGAGAGGGCCGCCTGCCCAACAGCGGCCGCTGTTGGTCTGGGACGACATGTGTTGATGGCCATTGTACCCATTCTTTCCGTGCCCATTTCGGGCGCCCAAAACGGGGGGAGGGGGGCGGAGGGGGCTGCCGGCAGCGGTCGGGGCGGGGTGGTCCGGAGCGGCGTGAGGCGTGCCCGGGTGGGCCCGGGTCGTGGCGTCGGGGTGCTCCGACCGACGCGGGGGGGCAGCAGGGCGGAACGGGCTGGCGGGGGCGGGCGGGGCGGGGCGGTCCTGACGGGCACGGGTCGTAGCGTCAATGGGGAGGTCCAACCGACTTGAAGGGGCAGTGGCCAGGGGATGTATCCGCGGGAAGGTACAGACAGAAGCAGGGCGACGAGACGTGGTAAACGCGGGATGGTCCTCCTCCGCCTGCTCCTCCTCGTCCTCCTCTGCCACTTCCTCTTCCTCTTCCTCATCCTCGTCCTCGTCCACATCCGCTTTCTCATTCTCATCCTCATCCTCTCCCCATCCGTATCGTCGTCATCATCATCAGCAGCAGTATCCTCATCATACTCAGCATCCTCAACAGCATCATCGTCATCATCATCACCATAGTCATCATCATCAACATGATCATCATCACCATCATCAGCATCATCATCACCATCACCATCGCCATCATCATCGTCATCAGCAGCATCATCATCAGCACCATCATCATCATGCTCACAATCACCATCACCATCATGATCATCATCATCATCATCATCATCATCATCATCAGCAGCAGCAGCAGCAGCAGCAGCAGCAGCAGCAGCACCAGCAACATCATCGTCATCAGCAGCATCCCTCCGGGGCTCCGAGGGCGGCGGGGCGGAACTCCGCGACGGGAGGCAGGCGACCAGCTGCAGCCCTCTGGAGGGGCAGGCCCTCCCCAAACATGCTCGCGTCGCAGCTGAAACCGCAAAACAACACCTTTTTTTGATTCGCGGCTCGAGAGCGCACTTCTTCCGGTCGAAGCTAAGCGGGGCGCGCGAAGCTTGAATTAACAGAGGGGCAGAGGGGGGGACAGATAGAGCGCGGCCTCACGGCAAGGCCAGGAGGAGGCAAAGCCTCGGGATCAGGCGGTGCCGAAAACGACGTGCTTGCAAAGGAACGCTTTGCACAGGAACCGCAAAAAACACGACAAGAGGCTGTGGCCCGTCTGAGTTTTCTGGGAGCCCTCGCTGGGCCCAGGGGCCGTCAGAAGGTAGCTCGGGACGGGAAAAGGGACCGGACTTCACCTTGCATGAGGCGCAGCGACAGGGGAGACTGGCACGAAGGGGGGATACATCGACCTCGACTCGGCGATATGTCGCCGATAGATCGGCGATGGGCCCCCGATGGTAAATCCGCACCTTCCTGTGCGGGTTGGGGCTGTCGGGCCCTCATCGACGATCCATGGGCGATTGGGGGTCGCTGCATCCCCCCCCCTATGCCTATCCCCCCCCCCCTATCGCTGCTCCCGACTGCTGCACGAAAGAAATCAGAGCGGCACCTGGCTGGGCCTCGAGGGCGCAGCGAAGGAGGAGGGCCTCCGCCAGCGCCCGCGTCCCCGAACGTCGATTCCCCCCCCCAGGCGATGGCTATGGATGAAGGGCCCCAGGACACACAAATATATACACACAAATAAAAATATTCCCTATATTTTCCGATATTTTCTGGGTTTCTGTCTTCCCCCCCACTTCCCATATTTTCCCATATTTTCCGGGGAATTGACGATTCATTGTGTCTGTGTGTTTTTTCCCCTCCTGAATGGGCAGACCCCCGCCGCGAGCCACGGGCCTCCTGGCGCGGGCTCCACGCGACCTCGCACCCCGGCGGCGCGGGCGTGAGGCGGGGCGGCGGTGGCCCGAAGGAGGAGGAGGAGGAGGAGGAGGAGGAGGAGGAGGAGGAGGAGGAGATGGAGGAGGAGAAGATGGAGGAGGAGGAGGAGGAGGAGGAGGAGGAGAAGAGGAGGAGGAGAAGGAGGACGAGGAGGAGGAGGAGGAGGAGGAGGAGGAGGAGGAGCTGACGACGCACGGGGTCCTGGATCTCGTTCTCGCCGTACAGGGCCCCGCGCTTGGAGGTCAGGAGGAGCAGCCAATCGTGCAGGGGCCTGACCTGAGCATCGGCGGCGAGATCCGAGCACTGCACTCGCCGATCCACGATGCGGGCAACCCGAGGAGCGGCGGGGCTGGGGTTCGGAGTTCGTCGAGCAGGTGGCAAGATTCGAACTCTGCCCCCCGGCTCCCATCGATTCGGGAGAATCGGTGGTTGGCGGGGGTAGGGATCAGATGTCGCCACCTATGGGCTGGGGTTCGGAATTCGTCGAGCAGGTGGCAAAATTCGACCTCTGCCCCCCGGCTCCCATCGATTCGGGAGAATCGGTGGTTGGCGGGGGCATCGCCACCCATGAGCGGAGTGAGCGGGTCCTGAAGAACAAGAGGGGTTCCCGACAACTGCTGCCTCTGGGGCACGCCACGTGCCCCAGGAATGTCGACAGAACTCCTCGGGAGGAGACCCGCGCCCTGGGCCAGGCTCTGGGGTTTCGAACTCGCTCCCCTCAGGCGCCCTGCTCCGTGGTGAGGGGGCTGGGGGCGTGCAAGGGGGAGGTTTGCAGATCCTGGCCCGAAGCACGTGCGCGGACGAGGAGAAGGACCAAGGAACGTGTTGGAATATAAAGGAAAAAGGGGTTGGCCGGAGTGGGCCCCACACAAGAATTCACTGGCCGTAGATATGGTGCAATCGATGTGTAGCTGTATATATATATATGTATATATGTGTATATATATATATATGTATGTGTGTTGCACTCCATCTGGTTGAATGTGTGCGGTGCAAGATATGTGGTGCGGTATACGTGGTACGTGCGCGCTATGTTATGAAACCTATGTTGTGCAATACACGTCGTGAGGTCCATGTTGTGCAATATATGTGGTGCAACATGTTAGTATATATGGTGCAATCGGTGTGTTGCCGACTATGGGGTGCAATCTGACCCATGCAGCCTATGAGGGGCAATCTTTGTTGTGCAAGATAGGAGCTTCGATCCATGTGGTGCGATCCGGGTCGTGCAATCTGTGTAGTGAAATCGACGTGGTGCAATCAATCACTTGCTCAACTTGAAGCTGTCATCTCCACTGCTCATGCAAACATCCCACCCTCCGACCCGCAACTTGGTCGCAAGACCTCGTAAGACCGTGACGATCGGTACCCAATGGCCCGTGGCAGCGACACCGACGCCGACGACGGCAGCGACGACGACTACGACGACACCGACGACGTCTCCAACGACTTCAACGACGACGACAACGACGACGACAACGAAGACGCCGACGACGACGACGTCGCCAACGACGACGACGACGGCGACGAAGGAGAAGGGAGGACGACGACGGCGACAGCAGCGACGAGGGAGAGGGGGGCCGGCGACGACGCGAGCCACGAAGAAGGAGGAAGGACGGCGACGCCGACGACGACAACGAAGAGGGAGGAGGGAAGACGACGACGACGACGACGACGGCGACGAAATAGGAGGGACGACGACGAGACGCCGACGACGGACGACGACGACGACGAGGGAGGAGGAAGGACGACCACGGTGACAACGACGAGGGAAACGACGACGACGCCAAAGAGGACGACGACGACGAAGACAGAGGACGACGACGGCGACGACGACGACGACGACGAGGGAGTAGGGACAGCGACGACGACGCCGAGGACGACGACGCAAGAGCGCGTGCCCACATTTTTGTTGAACATACGTGTTGCGAAACCTTGTTTTTTTGTGCATGTTTTTGGACACTAGATTTTGAAATCCTTCCGGAACCGAAAGGTTTTGAAGGATTTCGGCATGCGCGCGCTGCGACGCGCGCGCGTGCACTTCGTTTTATTTTCACAGGATTCTCGCGACGGCACGCGCGCAAAGGCGTTTGAACAATTTCGACATTCGCGCGCGCGGATTCAGTTTGATATTTTTTTTGAAAAGCTTGAAAACTCATGGTTTGCTCAAGATTTCGCAAGAGCGCGCGTGTAAGTTGGTTTTAAACATCAATAATGCGAAACCAAGTGTTGGTGTATGTGTTTGGGAAACTCAATTTTGAAACCCTTCTGGAACCAAGGGTTTTTGAAGGATTCCGGCATGCACGCGCGACGGCGCGCGCGTGCGCACTTCGTCCCATTTCTTGCCAGGAATATGGGAAAACTTGTGATTTGTGATAAACGAGTGTGCGCGCATAGTTTTTGCTGCAGACGATGGCGAGGGGGGGGCCGATACCGGTTTGGATGGGATACTATAAGTTCACAGGTCGGATGGACATTGGGTCGGAATCCGATCCGTTTTGCATCGGTTCCTGGGGGGGGTTCAACCCCGGGGGGGTGAGGGTGGTAGAACCTACTGGCGTAGCGACTTCGGTTTAGCAAAGTAGAGTGCCTTATCACACTTATAGATGTAGCTGTCTCAGATGCAAATGTACTTACCGAAGCCGCAACTACACTTACACGGTGCCCCTAACCATACTTACACAACAATTTAAAATCGACATATAACCATCTTATAACTTTCATAACTTTCATAACTTCTTCAATTTCCATGCCCCTCCCCTCCCCTCCCCCCCTGTGGTTCGGTAGTTAGCCAGTAGGACGGCGAGAAGAAAGGAGGGGGGAAGGAGGAGGACAGCGATGCATTCGCTAACGCATTCCTGGGTATGAGCGATAAATTCGCTATGTGGTTCTCTGAGCGATCAATTCGCTGTGCAATTATCTGAGCGATCAATTCGCTATAAGCGATGAATTCGCTATGTGGTTCTCTGAGCGATCAATTCGCTGTGCAATTATCTGAGCGATCAATTCGCTATAAGCGATGAATTCGCTATGAGGCCCCTGCCCATGCCGCCCCCACTGCGCCATCATTCGAAGCCGTTTGCATACGCAAGCCCGCGCGTTTTTTTTTTGGGTGGGTGGGGCCGCATAGCCATGGCTGCCCAGCGCTTGCGCGACCAAGTCGAGGCCGTCGGGCGATTGCTCGAGGCAGTGCAAGGGCAGCCCTGTTTCGATACGGTGGCGGCCGCGCAGGAAAGGATGCTCGTGCAGGCTTTCGGGAGCGCGAGGCTGCAGCCCACGCAGGTGACAACCCTCTCGTCTCTCGTCGCAGCGCAACCCTGGTCCGAGGTTTCCAAGGGGAGGCTGTTGGAGAAGCTCGGCAGCATCGTGGCTTCTGGCAGCGCCGTGGGTTTGCGAATGGCCCAGCAGGGTTATGAGTGCATCTTCGGGTACCTGACAGCGGGCTCGTGGCACCAGTTGGCGCGGACCGACGTGCCCGAGGAAGCGAAGCTCAACGTGCTGGTTGATGTTGCGATTAGCTTAGGTCTTCGCAACCCGACCGAAGGCACGTATCAGATGTTGACGGCGATGTGGCGCATGGCCGTGGACGGAGCCGAGACCGCGAAGAATTTGGCGTGGGCTGCAAAGTACTCGTACCTCCAGCAGACCAAGCGCGTGTTCAAGCGCCAGGCTGCAGCTGAAATTGCGGCCCTCGTCGAGGGGAGGGGGACCTAGGAGAAGGGAGGGTGGGGGAGGAGGAGGAGGAGGGGGAGGAGGAGGAGGAGGCAGTTTCCCCTGGCCGCAATTTCACCCACGAAGGTTTCGAGGCTTCCTGCGCCCCCCGTTCGGCTGACCGAGCTGCCTACGTCCCCCTCGACGTTCTGCGAGAACCACCCTGGCTTCTTCAAGCAAGTGTATGGCGACGAGTTGCCAGCTGCATGCCCCGCGCCAGAAGCCGCGATTCGCTCCGTCCAGGCTACGTACCCATGCCGCAACACAAAGCAGCAGGCCACGGGGGCGCAGATGATGAGCGCCTCGGCGTCGCAGCCCGACGTTTTGCAGATGATGCAGCTCATGTTCGATAACTTGCGGCGGGCGGACGTCGGCGCTCAGACGGGCCCTTTGAACCTCAAGATCCTGGGAGGCGGCGCGAAACGTGCCGCGGCCTCGGCGTTCGCAGCCGTGGAGGACGCTGCCCCGAGTTCTCTTCCATCTTCCGCCTCAGAAGGGGCACCGTCGCCAGCAGCGCCAACGCCACCGTCGCCAGGGACGCCTGCAGCAGCCAGCGTCGCCAAAGGGAACGTGACTCCCCCCAAGAAGGACGTCGCCTCGGTCACCGAGGACATCCTGCACGGACTCGTGGCCAAGGAGAAGGGGGAGGGCCCGAAGCCGAAGGCAAAGGGGAAGGCAAAGGGGAAGGCGACAGCAAAGGCGACGAAGGCTGGGGCTAAGACGACGGGCGAAGGCCACGGGAAGGGCGTCACCGCGTCACCCCTGTTCAAGCCCATCAAGAAGCTCGGGTGTTCGAAGTGTCGTTACGCCAAAAAGGGGTGCTCGAGTTGCAAAGAGCGGCTCAGGATTTCAAAGCTGCTGGGTAAGTAGCTCATAATGTGTGTAGGTTTCCTGAGGCGCTCTCGGCCGCGCTGGGTCCGCCACGCACTTTGCCAGATGTATTTCGGCCTGGGCCGTGCCACACGCCGCACGCTCATAGTCATGCTGCGGTGTTTCGGACAGAGCGTCCAATGCATTTCGCTACCGCGCTTCTGTATATGGGGCCCTGGAGAGCGCATCCTAGCGTTTGGGTAAGCCGCGCGAGCGCCCCAGGGAACCCTGCCGCTCACTTTTACTCTTGTGAGGGCGTGCCTTACCGTTGCCTGCGATGAAAAAAAAAAGAAGGCGATCCACTCGCTAAGCGATTCATTCGCTTGGGGATAGACAGGGTGAGAGGGGTGAGAGGGGAGAGTGATGGACCGCTGACTTGGAGAGGGGTAGGAGGGGTGAGAGGGGTGAGAGGGGTGAGAGGGGAGAGGGAAGAGAGGAGGGTGAGAGGGGAGAGTTATGGATGAGGCCTCGACCCCTCAAGCCAACCCCCAACCCTGCGTCAGCGATGCATTCGCTTTCCTCCGACCTCCCATCGAAGCAGCGCTCCCTTCACCTCAACCCTGTGTCAGCGATGCATTCGCTTGCTCGCGGAGCGCCCCTGCGACCGTGCCTTCGCATTGCCATTTCGGCTCAAGGCCTCGGCTCAAGGCCTCGGCGGCCGCGCCAGCGACAATGGCCGACGACGCGGAGAGGTC